GGGTGGCTCAGTGGGTTAAAGCCTCTGCCTTCGGCTCAGGTCATGATCCCGGGGTGTTGGAATCGAGCCTCGCATCGGGCTCTCTGCTCGGCGGGGAGCCTGCTTCCTCCTGCCTCTCTGCCTACTTGTGATCTCTGTCAAATAAATAAAATCTTTAAATATTTTTATTTTTTATTTTTTTATTTTTTATTTGACAGAAAGAGATCACAAGTAGGCAGAGAGGCAGGCAGAGAGAGAGGGGTAAGCAGGCTCCCTGCTGAGCAGAGAGCCCGATGCGGGGCTCCATCCCAGGACTCTGGGATCATGACCTGAGCCGGAGGCAGAGGCCTTAACCCACTGAGCCACCCAGGTGCCCCAATAAATAAAATCTTTAAGAAGAAAAAAAAAAAAGAGAGAGAGAGAGACATAGTAACACTGTTACCTGTGTCCTACTCTTGATTTTGGAGGAGATACTGTCAGCATCTCTGCAGGAAGGGTGGCGTTTGTTGTAGGATTATTGATAACAGTCTTTTGGGGGCTCAGGAGCTTCCCTTGTTTCCTGGGTTTTCTAGGAGCTTGTCTTGAAAGATACTGAGTTTTATCAGATACTTCATGGGTGTGATTAAATCTATAAATTTATAGACTCATAAATGTTAAATTATCTTTCTGATACTGTCGTATTGATTTGTCATAATGTGGTGCCTTTTTTCTACACTGCTGTATTCTGTTTTCAGGTTTTTTGCTTAGGAGATTCTCATTTGGGATTATGAGTGAGATTTAGCCTAGTGGCTCTACTGTACCTGATCTGTTGTCTGTATCTAATTTGTAAATCAAAATTATACTGGCCTCATAGAATGAATTAGGGGGTATTCTCTCTTCTTTTCTATAGAAAAGTTTAAGTAAGATTGTGTTCCTCTGTTCCTTACAAGTTTTGTAGAATACCCCCAATAAAAACACCTGGACCTGTAGTGGTTTGGTTTAAGTTTTAAAATTATTCTTTTTTGTTGTTATGGGACTACTCAGGACTTCTTTTCTTCTTGAATCTGTTTGGTAAAATACATTTTCTAGTAATTTGTCCATTTAGTTTTTCTATTTGGCATAAGTTGTTTGTTTGTTTTTTTTAAGATTTTATTTATTTATTTGACAGACAGATCACAAGTAGGCAGAGAGGCAGGCAGAGAGAGAGGGAGGAACTAAGGCTCCCCGCAGAGCAGAGAGCCCGATGCAGGGCTCCATCCCAGGACCCTGAGACCATGACCTGAGCCGAAAGCAGAGGTTTTAACCCACTTAGCCACCCAGGCACCCCTGGCATAAGGTTTTTGGGAGTTCTTTGTCACTTCCAATTTGACCTTTCCCTATTAATAGTTATGACCCTTCTTCCAGTCCTTATACAATTAATTTGTGCCTTCTTTGTCTTTTCTTGATCTATCACATCAGTTTATCGACTTTATTATTTCAAAGAACCAAGTTTGGGGTATATCGAGTCTTTCTGTTTTATGTTTTAACTCTATCGTATTTTGTTTTTTATTGCTTTGATTTTTATCCTTGTTATGTTTTTCTCTGTACCTTCTATATTCTGTTGTTCTTTTTCTGCTTCTCAAGAATATAGAGTGTGTAACATCAAGCTTTTTTTGTTTTTCTGATACAAGTTTAAGAAGCCTTTATATTTCCTTCTTCATGCTATTTTTACTGACTCCCAAAATTACATTTCTAAGCACAGAAAAATTTATCTGTATATTTAAACTTAATTTCATTGCATTATGGTTAGAAACCTTGGGATGTGTGTCACTGACTTTGAAATCTGTTAAAGTTTGCTCTTTACTTAATTTGTGACCAGTATTTTTAAATGTAACATGTGAGGTTGAAATTAAATACATGTGTATTCTCTGGTGAGCATAGAACCAGCTTGCTTCATTTACATCCACTGTTGATCTTAATTGAGTAAAGTATATTCAAATCCCCACTGTGAGGCACATTTTCACTTCTGTCCTGCCGTTCTGTCAGCTTTTGCATTATGTAGTTTGACACTTTTATTAGGTTCCTAAAAGTACGAAAAGTTAAATTTTTCTGGTGAATTAAGCCTTTTCTTCATCACGTTGTCACCCTCCATTTCTAACAGTGCTCTATTCTTGACGCCTGTATTAAGTAACAGTACTGTGAAAACAGCACCATTCCTTGGATTGGCTTTTGCCTGGCTTACCTTTTCTGATGAGTTTGTATTTCCCATTTTCATGGTATTCGTATGGATCATTTCTTTAGAGGTGTTCTATAGCTTTGTACTTTTCTTTTTACCTGGTTTAATCTGTTTCCCTTTGCTTTATTTCTAGAAAATTTTTTGATCTTTTGGGTTTTTAAAAAAATCTCTGCACATCTCTCATATGCTCTTGTTGGCTGGAGATCTTTAGTATTCTCTCTTTTAATGATCTGTTGCATTGACAGCTGTGCTAGATTCAGGATCTGGCAGATCTCATCTTGGTAGTAATCCTTGAGTGCTGAAACGGTCGATTAATGTTTGTGCTCAGTGTTCGTGGCTTCCTGTTTTGGTGTTTTGCTCTGCTCTTTGTGAGCTCATTACTTGGACAGCTACAACTGGGATTGGAAAAACTGCAGAGGATTCTGTTTCTCTTAGTAGCCAGGGGTTGCGCCTGGCTTGAGATCCCATTTAGCCACCTCCTCTGGCCGGCTCTGTAGAATCCCGGGCTTCTTCTCCTGCCCTGGATCTGGCTGGTCCAGGACTCAGCTTCCTGATGCTGAGCTCCTCTAAGCAAATATGTCTGGGTGTGACCCTGGCTCCATTCCTTCCATACTCTGGCCCCACTCCTGGCACTGTAGTTTTCTGGCATTTTTTGGAAGGTGGTAATCTACCTTATGCGAGATGCGTGATATCCCAGACTATCATGTCCCCGAATTCTGGAAGCAAGGTTTGCTTCCATCTGCAAGAATTAGAGCAAGAGGGATTTTCCTATTCAATAACTTTAACACGATTAGTTTTAAATATGTTTGTTTAGATATGTTTCTTAAGTATTCTCATTGAGGATAAATGCTGTTAGTCTTGTCATTTACAAGAGGATAATATTCAAATGAAAGCTGTAGGATATTTGAATGTTTTTATTTAAAACCACAGCAAACCCTCATTATGTGTGAAATATTTGTTTCTGTATAAAATTCTAAAACCAAAAATATTTATCTGATTGTATTTTGTTTGTTTTTAAAATCTTCATTAATGGGGCGCCTGGGTGGCTCAGTGGGTTAAAGCCTCCGCCTTCGGCTCAGGTCATGATCCCAGAGTCCTGGGATCGAGCCCCGCATCAGGCTCTCTGCTCAGCGGGAGGCCTGCTTCCCTGTCTCTCTCTGCCTGTCTCTCTGCCTACTTGTGATCTCTGTCTGTCAAATAAATAAATAAAATCTTAAAAAAAAAAATAAAATCTTCATTAACTTCCTAGCTACAGCATATAGTTAAGACTCCCTTAGTACCGCATTCAGAGTCTTCCTCCTGAGGCCCTTACATGCATTATGTCCCTCCTTCTCATTTCTCCTCTCTCATCTCCCCCTTCCTAGTCATCACCAAGGACTCCCATTTTCCCCATGCCCTTGAATCTTTCTGTCTCTTCCTTTGAAATGTCTTTCTCTATCTTGTACTACCCACCCCCAGCCCCAGCCATGTCTGCATGGCTGTAACCGTTTATTCTTCCCCAACTGAAACAGTCGTGCCCTCTGTGCTTCTCACAGCATCTCCTACATACATGTCCGTGATGGACTTCTTGCTTTGTGTCTTCCCCAGCCAGAATGTGAGGTCCTGGAGGTTCAGTGAATATCTAGCTCAGCATTATTTCTCTAGTATATGAAATACGCAAAATACATACTCATTAAGCATTGGTTAAATAGTAATAAGTTACTTGGGGCTCTTTTTTGCTTTTTCGTACTTAAAATTTTTTTAAGGCTATTATTTTTATGCATGCAGAACAATAAAAACCCTTAGTACACAGCTCCATGCATTTCCACAAATTAAACACATTCACGTAAGCAGCCCCAAGATCAAGAAGCAGATCATTACCAGCACCTCAGCCTGTCCCCCCCCGCCCCCCGCCAAAATGCACTACTTGTCTGCCCACCCCTTCCCTGGTTAATCACTGTCCTCATTTCTAACACATTGATTACTTTCATCTGTTTCTGAACTTTGAAATTAATATAATCATAAAGTCTGTGTTTTATGCTAGACTTCTCATGTCAGCCTTACGGTTGTGAGACTTGTCCATATTATCGTGCATACTCTTGTTTCAAACATCACAGCTGTATGGTAGCTTTTACCTTTGTTCCATATTGTGTTACTTGTTCTTATTCTTCTCCTTGTAGAAGGGGCTGAAGAGGACAAAATGGAAACAGATACTGATGGTCAGCAGCCTGAAAAGGTGAAGTCTATCCGTTTGAATTCTCCTACCACAGAAAAGACACAGAGAGAGCATGCCTTTAATAGCATAACGGTTGGGTTTATTTTGATCTTTGATCCCTTTCAGGGAACTACAAATGATTCTATTAGCCATTGGACTTTGCTGGTTTAAGGTATAAGTCTCACAAAGCATAGCAGAGGACATTTTTCACTTAACACATTCAGGGAAGACTTACCCACTCCCCAACCTTTCCTTTTTTATCCCTTTCAGGCACAGTTGGGAAAATGAATACAAAATTGTGGTTTTTATGAATATTGAATTATAGGGTTTGGTCCTGTACTTGTGCCAGAAGAGAATTATAGAATATTAAGGGATTTTTGTAGGAGAGTTAACTGCCAGCAGGAAAATAATTAGTAAAGTCTTAGTGAGAAGGTGGTATTTGAGGTAGGTTTTAAAGAGCAGGTAGCACTATAAAGACTGAAACTGAAGTAGAGGTGAGGGACTCAAAGATCCCACTGGCCGTGGGGGAGGGATGCTGACGCCAGGGTACAGAAGGCGTCAGCAGAGTGCCCCGTGTTCATGACCCACTCTCCAACTCAAAGAGACTCTAAATGCCCAGTGAGTGTGGCAGAACAGGACCTCACAGCGTCCTCGAGATCAGGGGCACATGATTTAAAAATGGGCAAAGGACCTGAATAGACATTTTTTCCAAAGAAGACATCCAGATGGCCAGCAGACACATAAAAAGATGCTCGGTATCACTCATCATCAGGGAAATGCAAATCAAAACTACAGCGAGAGACCCCTCACACCAATCAGAAAAGCTAATAACAAAAAGACAGCAAGTGTTGGCAACAGTGTGGGGAGAATGAACCCTTGTGCACTGTTGATGGGAATGCAGTTTGGTTCAGGCACTCTGGAAAACTGTGGAACTTCCTTAGAAAGTTAAAGGTAGAACTACCATATGATCCAGCAATTCCGCTACTGGGTATTTATCCCAAGAAAACGAAAGCACTAATTCAAAAATATAGGTGCACCCCCTGTGTTCACTGCAGTATTATTTATAATGCCGAGACATGGAGGCAACTTGAATGTCCACTGATAAATGAATGGATAATGGAGAAGCGGTGTGTATCTCTCACACGACAGGAATAGTATTACTCAGTCATAAAAAAGAATCCAATCTTGCCATTCACAACAACATGAATGGACCTAGAGGGTATTATACCAAGTGAAATAAGTCAGACAGAGAAAGACAGCTTCTTTTAATATTTAACTTAATGTAGAATCTAGAAAACAAAATAGAAACAGCCCCATAAATACAGAGAACAGACTGGCGATTGCCAGAGGAGAAGGGCGTTAGAGAGATGGGCAAAGTAGGTGAAGGAGGATTAAGGTGCAAATATCCTGTTATAAAATAAGTCAGGGGATTGAAAAGTACAGCATAGTGAATATTGCCAATACTGTACTAATGTATGGTGACAGTAACTAGCTTTATCATAACATTGTGTAATATATCAAATTGTTGAATTGTTAATGTTGTATACCTGAACCTAATAAAAACCTTGTATGCCAACTATACTTCAGTGGAGAAAAAGACAAGATTAGGAGTACACGATGAATATTCATTCACTATTTGACTGAACATATACAAGCTGGGATTTAAGGTCTCGATTGCATGTGTTGTTTTAAAATTGTATGTAGATAAGGATCGGATAATAGTAAAATTATAGTTCTTATACTGTTCTAAATATTATGCTTTGTACTTTACATTAATGCATTTATGAATTCATCTGGTTCTTAAATAGTCTCATCTCGTCATTGATAATCTCTTCATTTTATAGACAATGTTTACATGATTTGTCCAAGGTCACAGGGATTTCAAAATCCTTAAACAAAACCACATTCTGACTGGAGGAATTGAAGTTTTCAGTCCCCAGAGCATAGTCACTGATGCCCTATTGTGGCTCTTCCCAAAAACTATTAGCAAATGACTGTATTAAATGGCTTTGTCAGCTTTTTTATTTTGGCAGCATTCCATCTTGCTTCTGTGTTAATCAGTTTAAATGCCCTTGGTCCTTTTGGACAGGTATTTGATAATTCATTTGTTTATTTATGAAGCCGTTCTCTGTTTAACCAGGAAGCAATGTACATGAATTTCCATGACATCCTTTGGACATTGTGACCCTGGCTTTATAGCAGAGGGCACAGAGAGGGCAAAGATTGTGGTTTAGAGCTATATTGAGGAAGTGAAAGGTATTTCTTCAAATTTATTAATTTCTTTTCTAGCTCTTCTAAGACCCTTCTGAACCCAGTTCATTTCCTGCCAAAAATAGTAGAGGCTTTTGTTACTCTAAGGTAATGTCACTTTAGAAGGACTGTTTTTGCTCACTCTTCTGTTCTCTTCTTTTGTACCCCTTATAGGCAGAAAACAAAGGAGAAAATGAAACAGATGAAGGTGACAAAGCACAAGATGGAGAAAATGAAAAAAATAGTGAGAAGGAGCAGGACAGTGAAGTTAGTGAGGATACCAAATCAGGTAATTCAAGGAAACTCTTTAGACTGTATTTATTTTATTATTATTATTTTTTAAAGATTTTATTTATTTGAGAGAGAGAGAGCTGAAGGAGGGGTAGAGGAAGAAGGAGAGAATCTCAAGCAGACTCCCCACTGTGTGTGGAGCCGATGGGGGACTTGATCTCATGACCCCAAGATCATGACCTGAGCCAAAATCAAGAGTTGGATGCTTAACTGACTGAGCCACCCAGGTACCCCCTTTTTAGACTTCATTATGTGAAATTAAAACACTGGAGGAGTGTGGGCAGTTTAATTACAAAGTAATATTTCCTTACTCATTTTGTGTGTGGTTTTTTTTTGTTTTTGTTTTTGTTTTTAAGATTTTATTTACTTGTTTGACAGACAGAGATCCCAAGTAGGCAGAGAAGTAGGCAGAGAGAGGGGGGGAAGCAGTCTCCCTGCTGAGCAGAGAGCCCGATGCGGGGCTGGATCCCAGGACCCTGGGATCATAACCTGAGCCGAAGGCAGAGGCTTTAACCCACTGAGCCACCCAGGTGCCCCTTGTGTTTGTTTCTTAATGTAACAGTAAATATGCATTAGAGTTTGAGTTTTATTTTGCTCCTAAGGCGCCAGTGCTAATGCTAGCGGCTGCCTTGTGTCAGTAGCATGTAGACAGACAAGTTGTTCGGTGTGGCTGAAGCTACCGTGCAGACCTGCCATTTTGGTCTCCGAGTCAGTGACTGGTGGATCCGTCGTGCCCATCTCAGAAAGCTTGCGGAAGTGCTTTGTTCTCCACTTCTGATTTCCTGCAGACTCTAGGGTCTCCCAGAGCTGCGCAGTGACTGATCTTGTTGGTCTTTGGGCTTAGTTCCCTTTATATCTCTGGGAACTACATAGAGAGCTTAGAGAAATGAAGGGGAGACAAATGTACTATTTAGAAAATCCGTCTCAGATAGAGGCGCACTTACATGCATGCAATGATTCTGCAAAAATCTTAAAAAGAAGGCGGCGACCCTGAGATCTCTTTGTAACCTCAGTCCTAGTTTGTCATGTGCCGGAGGTGAGAAGTATGGTGGCTTATTGAGTCTGGGCACACTGGCAATAAAGCTTTCTGATTTCTTTCAGAAGAAAAGGAAACTGAAGAGAACAAGGAACTCACTGATACTTGTAAAGAAAGAGAAAGTGATCTTGGGAAGAAGAAAGTAGAACACGAAATTTCCGAAGGAAACGTGGCCACGGCCGCAGCAGCTGCTCTCGCCTCAGCTGCAACCAAAGCCAAGGTTTGCCACTCACAGCCCTTGCCAGGCTCCCTTCAGCCGTGAATGGTTGCCTTGTTTTTAGTTACTGGGAATGTTAGTACAAAGAGCCTTGCACCCAACAGGAGATGACTGCCTGACCGGCATTTCTAGGTTAAGAATTTACAGGCAGGAGGAGGGGGTGGGGGAGGGGGTGTGAGTCACAGATTTGGTCTTGAAAGGTGGGGCTGCCTTCCAGGCATTCCTTGTGCTGCTCCTTGCACTCTCAGCTCTCAGCTTGTGGACCCTGCAGGGATGGGGAGCAGAACTTACAGTCCCTCGCGCTGGCCCGCAGAACTTGTCTCGGACTGTTGTTCCAATTTCTGCTCGATTGAAATGTTTGTGATTTTTAAGACAAAAATCTGTTTCCTTGTATAAATACTTCACCCTGCTCCTAACAGACTGAAAGGAGAGAGGGAGGACCTAAAATAACTCTTTTTCTTCTTGAATTTGCCAGCTTTTCTGGGGGTGGTTTTCTCTATTTATAACCTAGTATTGGCTCCACGGCATATTTAAGAAGAAAGGAGAATGTTATTTTCCCCACTTTGTGTTAATTTAGCATTTTAAAGCCTTCCAGGCATGAGTAAGTGAAGTTTTCATAAAACCTTTTCACCTCCTCTCCATCTTACCCTCTGAAGTAGTCGCCTGCCATTGTAGGTTCCCACGTTTTGAGCAGTATTGACTGGAACATACCTAATCGTTTTATCTTGAGCTGTTCTTAATCCACTGGTAAAGAGAGTCTTTCATGGTCTTTACTGCCCACAGACCGTTCAGCCGCTGCAGACTATTCCTCCAAGCGTTTAATCCGTGATGTGTGATTTATAACAGACCCGCAGATGACCCAGTTCAGACCACGAGACCTCCGTGTTGAGTGCCCACCGTCAGGCGTAGGTGCCGCCCGAGAGGAGGAGGGGTGTCGCCAGTCCATCCAGATGGCTCCCCCAGCTGCGGGTTCCTGTTACAGTAGCTGGAGGGCCTGCGTGTTCAGCCCTCCCAGTCTCTTCCCAAGGTGCCTCCTGATTTTCGCGGTGATTTGGCTGCAGTTTTAGGTGTTCTCTCTCTTCTGCCTTCCCCTGCCTCTGGGGACTGCTGAGGTGCACTCTGGGTGGTTTCTCATCCGTTTGGTTTTGCTCCTTCATCAGAAGCAGCTTTTGTATCCTCCCTTTCTTCTACCAGGTTGGACTCTTTGGCACCTCCTTGTCTCTGAGCTGAGTCTTCATTGTTCCAACTGTCACCAGGGATCTTACAGACTGCCTCGGGCCTGTCTCACAAATGAGCTAGAGGCCAGGAGGGCTTCTGTACTTTGTGACCTTTATCAGGAGACAACACACCATCACCCCAATCTTTAGACCCACAGCCTGGGGTCCTCTCTGTCTCCTCTCATTCTTTCACTTTCCACAGCTGCTAAGCCCCCAACTCCTTCCTGGTACGTTTGGGTCCCTGGTGATGCCCAGTCCCTTCACTGCTCCCTTAGGCTGCTCGCATCATCTGTTGCCTCTGTCTTTTAGCCCATTCTCTGTTTGCAGCCAGAGGAATCTTTTTTGTTCTTAAAATTTTCTGTTGAAGTATAGCTTAGATTTGAATAAGTCTGTTGAATATACGTCTACAGCTAGTGAATTTTTCACAGACTGAGCCCACCTGTGGGCTCACAGACAACACCCACATCAAGCAGCATAACATTCCTAGCCTTCCAGAAGCTTCCTCATATTCCCTTCTAGTTACTGCTCCCCCATCCCAAGAGTGGTTATTAGCTTGTCTCCTAATGCCATGGATTACTTTCTGCTTTGTTGACTTTATATATATGGAATCATATAATGTGCAGAAAAATCTTTAAAAACACAAACAGGAACATGATACTTTCTTAAATAAGCTCTCTAATTCTCTCAGGCTAAAATTTCAAAGTCTTTAGTGTCGAATTCATGAGTTTTTCGTGCTCAGGACCCTTCTCCGTTCTCAAGCGTCATTTCTTGGCTGCCTAACCTGGACTGTCTCTTGCAAGTTCTCCTGGACAGAACCCGCTGTGACATCTCCAGCTGGGCTCTTTGGGACCCACTTCCCTCTCACAGAGATGTTTCCCTTGCCCTCCTGTTGTGTTTTCTTCCTCTGCCACCATGTCTCTTCACTATCAGTTGCCAGAGAAGTTACTAATAAGTGGTAGACTCCATAAAACATTTTACAGAGGCCTCATGATGTTTTCATAGTGGATGAAAACACGGCCTCGTAGCTGTTAAGACGTGCAGCTTTGGGCACAAAAGTGTGTGTATTGTGCATTCCTCACTGCCTTGCCAGGATTTCTTTGGATTGATTTACTGTAGAGAAACTGCTTTTATGGATCAGTTGCCCTGGTCCTTGAATGTTCTGCACAAGGTTTAGAAGAGTCCAGAGAACATTTTCTTTCCAGGTCACTGTTTTTTCGCTCACTCACTCTTATTTCTAACTGGGATCTTAGCTCTTTATTCTCATGACAGCTGCGTCTTCCACAGATCCGTGAGTGATGCACATGTGTGTGATGCATGACTTGGCACGTGTGAACTGGTGAGTGCCACTTACAGCTGGGTTCCATGCATTTCACAGCACACATAATCATCTTTGTGCTACATGTGAATTACGGGTAAGGAATTCACTGAAATGACTGTAATTAGTACAGCTTATCTAGCCAATCCAAGTTTTCTCTTATTCTCTTTTTGTTCTGTATCTATAAACAGCTTTGTTATTAAGAGTTTTCCTTGATACATTTTAATTGTTTGTCACACTCACATGGAGTGGTAATTATAGGTTCTGCCTCTAGCTCCACAACACGCGGGGAGGGTGGGCCTGTTTTCTGGCTTTTCCCCATCCTTGCCATACGCGGGACTTCAGCAGCATATCCATTTCTTCGTTGCACCTACTGACAAGCTGTGAATTGACCCACCTGAGGAGTGGTGTGTGGGTGTGAGAAGGAATGCCATTGGCAGGGTGCTCTACCTCCCTTCCATCTGGGTGCTTAGGTTTAGCTGGAAGGAAGAGCCTGGAACTATTGCTGGAATAAACCAGAAACCCCCCAAACTAGAATATGTTCTCTTTTTTCAGCAGCAGGAGGATTCAGTTCTTCCCAGATAGCAGAGATCACATTTTCTTAAGACCACAGACATTTCCTTCAGACTGATTCTGTCACCATCCCGTGCCCATGTGCCTTGAAATGCCCAAAGTAGATTGGTCTTCATGGTTACCGGGTGTTAGTTCTGGAGTAACAGGAGATTTTCTCACCCCTCAGTGATAGACCTCTTGCTCCCTTTTGCTTGAAATTTCATCTTGAGGTGGGTAATTTTTCCTTGTACATTATAGTCCTAAGGCTTTACCACATTAAGTGTTGACTGAAATCGATTGATGCCAAACGTGTTGATCATTGAAACCATATCTTCTTACTTGATACTGTGAAGAGAAGACAGAAGGGAAAATTGGCCTATTTGCTCATTTTGCCTACAGTTAGCCCTATTCACTTTCATCCGTACATAACTAAACAGAGTCTGCTCTTGGTCTGCTAGCTGAAATCTGGCTTTGCTGTGTAAAGTTCATCTCTCTTACAACCAGGCTACCTCTTTGTTATCATTAATCTTTTTGTGGTTGTTTCTCTGCATAGCCTGCGCCTGTGGCGCACTCCCAGAGTTCATCATTCTTAAGTTCCATAAAGCCGGTATGTGAAGAGACAGGCACTCCTGGTTAAAAAGAAGACTTTCCATTGTCTAATGTTTATGATAACAGGCTAAGGCTGGGAGTCTGAGATCTTCTCTAAATAAGTCCTGGTACAGATGAAGCTCCTTAGGAATGGTCTTTCACCATTTTGTGAAAATGGTGAACGTTTTCCCAAATGTTTGTACCACAAAATGTTTGTACCACAAAAACATTTGTGGTACAGCACCTTAGATGTTGGTCTTCCCAGTTGGAAGAACTTGAGGACTGACATAACAATGGTAAGACTCATGGAGAAAAACCGCTCACATTCAGGAAGGGTGAAAATGGGAGGCACCAAGAGTGTACTTGTGGTTCATAGCAACTTTCAGATCTAGTCAGGTGCACATTTCCAGGGTCTTTCTTCACCAGGGTCCTGTCCTGCCCTTTGTGACTTATTCTCTGTAGCTTTTGACTTGGCCCTCTGGGCTTTGGATTCTGCCTTCTGAGTCATTTTCCTTTTCCATTAAAAAAGCAGCCCAGGGGTGCCTGGGTGGCTCAGTGGGTTAAGCCGCTGCCTTCGGCTCAGGTCATGATCTCAGAATCCTGGGATCGAGCCCCGCATCGGGCTCTCTACTCAGCAGGGAGCCTGCTTCCTCCTCTCTCTCTGCCTGCCTCTCTGCCTACTTGTGATCTCTCTGTCAAATAAATAAATAAAATCTTAAAAAAAAAAAAAAAAAAAGCAGCCCAGTTTTGCTGCCAAGGGGCTTTCTTGACCTACAGTAAGAGTCGCAGAAGGAAAGCATAGGTTGGGGAGGGGGAGGGTGGAAATCATGGCTGATCGAAAACTCCAAATTTTAATGAAAACATTAGTTAAACGTAATATAGGGATGCCTGGGTCAGTTAAGCAGCTACCTTCAGCTCAAGTCATGATCCCAGTGTCCTGGGATCGAGTCCCACATCGGGTTCCTTGCTCGGCAGGGAGCCTGCTTCTCCCTCTGCCTGCCACTCTGCGTGCCTGTGCGCGTGCGCGCACTCTCTCTCTCTGACAAATAAATTAAAAAATCCTTTAAAAAAATTGTATAGTTAATGGTAATATAGAATATGGGAGACCTGTTCTTAAAGATACTTGGAGGTGGGGCGCCTGGGTGGCTCAGTGGGTTAAAGCCTGCCTTCAGCTCGGGTCATGATCCCAGGGTCCTGGGGTAGAGCCCCACATCCAGCTCTTTGCTCAGCGGGGAGCCTGCTTCCTCATCTCTCTCTCTCTCTCTGCCTGCCTTTTTGCCCACTTGGGATCTCTGTCTGCCAAATACATAAATAAAATCTTAAAAAAAAAA